CGCCCCTCCCAGGAGTCTCCACATGGCCCGTTTTGGATGCCAGGTAAGTGCAGGGCCCACGTGGAGGCTCTGGGAGGGTGAAAAACGGGCCTACTGGAAGTCCGGAAATGGGCCCATTTCCGGCTTTCGGAGGGCCTCTGGAGCCTATGGGAGCCCGTTTTCGCCTTCCCAGTGGCTCAAGGAAAGCCTCCGGAGCCTGGGGAGGGCAAACCCCCCCACCACTACCATGGTGCAGGAAGCTGACTAGGCCACATCCTCATGGCCACACCCACCCAGCAACCGGGCAGAGAACTGGTTGCTAAAATTTTTCAATCCCACCCCTGACTTTGGGTTCCCAGAAATTTCAGACTTAATCATGCTGGTTGGGGAATTCTGGGCATTAAAACCTACGCATAAGGAAGACAGCTTGTTAAGGAAGGCTGGCTAAAAATGTCATGGGATTCCTTGATTGAGTAAGCAGACACCTGATCTCTGAAACTCAGCAGGCCAGGTATGTAGATTTGGTAAACCAGATTTTTCTCCACTGACCAGCATGTTTTCCATTTTCTTCATCATCATCCATTTAACAACCCCATAATCCCTTGCGGGATGGAGTCTGAATGGAGCTAGCAGAATGTTTTAATGGCCAGATGCTCTTCCTGTCACCGATGCGGAGTTTTATTCAGCAGATATATTCTTCATTGTGCCCAGAGAGAGAAATATCAGCCTCTACCTAGGATCAAACTCACAACCTCCTGATTGTGAGGCGAGACCTCCACCTCTAGGCCATCGTACTACATTCCATTTTCTTCATGCTTTTCTATCTATTTGATTTTCCCATTTTAATTTTGTGTTTACACACTAATAGCTTAAAGATCCTTCCTTTATTGGATAAGCAGAAATAAAATGTCTTCAAACACACAAAGAGCAGTATATTTGTCCCATTTCAAGAGGCAACTGGACTTTCTGGGGGGTTTTTGTGACGATGTTTCGCTTCTCATCCCAGAAGCTTCTTCTTCTTCTTCAGACCTGAAGAAGCTTCTTGGATGAGAAGCAAAATGTCTTCAAGAAAAAAACCAAGAAAGTCCAGTGGCCTCTTGAAGAAGCACCTTTGGGACAACCATGACCTGGATGGCTGAGAAGGAGCCTTGGTGGAGCAGCGGACTAAAGTGCTGTTAAAGTAGCACTTAGCTGCCAGCTGCCTGCAATTACTGCGAGTTCAAATCTCACCAGGCTCAAGGTTGACTCAGCCTTCCATACTTCCGAGGTAGGTAAAATGAGGACCCGGATTGTGGGGGCAAGAAGCTGACTTTGTATAAAAAAGAACACCGCTTAGGGGGGGCCGAAAGTCCTACTAAGCAGGTATGTACAAAAGTATGAAGGCTATTGCTTAACGCATTGTAAGCCGCCCTGAGTTTCCGGAGAAGGGCAGCATATAAATCGAACCAATAAATAAATAAATAAATAAATATTTGTATTTACATAATATACAGAGTGTGATATGAGTACATAACATTCAAGGTGTGATATGGTTCGAGAGTTATAATTCTAGTTTATGGGCAGCAAAATCCATTATTCATCCTAAAAGACGCTTAGGGAAGCCTGCCATCTGGACTGGCAGCTGAACAGTACATAAGCTTTTTTTTTTTTTTAAACTACCTTATACATGCAAATCATCCAGGTGTTTTCCATAGGTTTATGGCATACCCTTCTCATCTAGCATTTTGTAAGGCTGCAAAAATCCACTGTATTTGTAAACCGGGATTGAAATGCCTCTGATTACACCTGGAGCTCTTCAATTAATTGCATCTCTTATTATTTTAAAGGGACGCAGTGGCGCAGTGGCTAAGACGCTGAGCTTGTCGATCGAAAGGTTGGCAGTTCAGCGGTTCTAATCCCTAGCGCCGCGTAACGGGGTGAGCTCCCGTTCCTTGTCCCAGCTTCTGCCAACCTAGCAGTTTGAAAGCACGTAAAAAATACAAGTAGAAAAATAGGGACCACCTTTGGTGGGAAGGGAACAGCGTTCCGTGTGCTTTTGGCATTGTCATGCCAGTCACATGACCACGGAGACGTCTTCGGACAGTGCTGGCTCTTTGGCTTTGAAACGGAGTTGAGCACCGCCCCCTGGAGTCGGGAACGACTAGCCTGTATGTGCAAAGGGAACCTTTATTATTTTTATTTGCATTTTTTTTCTTCTCCTGGATGTCATCTAGAGTTTACAAACTGGGGCAAGTTATATAAACTGTGAAACCAATACAGAATAATTAATTTGTGGCTTCTGGGTAAGCTATTCTCTTTTACGCTGTTCTTACCAGTGGGTTTATATAGGCACATGTCTGACTAATGCACTGGGATGTTCCTCTAAAAAGGAGGACCCAGGACAAAGGACTCAAATTAGGAAGGACATTTTCAATGAAATACAAGGAGAAAATTTTAAAGTATCAACTGTTCAGCAGTGAAAAGTATTAGACTTTACATGAGCTATTTTAAAACAGACGTTAAGAGAGTTGGCTACAAAGAATGGATTTATTTTGCAATGACAAAGACGATGGACCTGAACAGAAAAAGCAACCTAACCACATGTACCAATTGTCCCATCAAAGTCTCTCCTAATTTCTCTCTCTCTCTCAGCCATCATCTATCCATCTATCATCCTCTGTCTATATTTATCATCTATCAATCATCTAGGCTAGCTATCATCTATCCATCTATCATTATTTATCTCTATAGCTATCATCTATCAGCATCTATTATCTATCATCAATCTATACATTACCTATCATCTATATTATCTATCATCTCTATATACTCTGTCTCTCTCCCTATCTCTATCTATCTATACTTATCCATCTGCAGTATATCTATCTCTGCATCTATCTCTGCATCTATCTCTGCATCTATCTCTGCATCTATCTCTGTATCTCTGTAACTACCTACCTACCTACCTACCAGTATCTATCTATGTATCTATCTATCTACCTACCAGTATCTATCTATGTCAGGGTGGATAAAAATCAATGATTTTTTAAAAAAAATAAAAAAAAATCAGATTTTTTTGATTTAAATCGGATTTTTTAAATTTAAATCGGATTTTTTTTTATTTTTATTGAATTTATTTTAATAAAAAACTTTTGGGGTAAAAATATATCGTAAGATAGTTTTCTATTTAAGATGCATAAATAATTCAGTTTATTCAGCATGAAATGGAGCTTAGTTATGTAGCATGAGGCTGTATATTCTGCAACACTGGGACTATCGGTGAGTCAACAGTGGGTCAAAGGAGTAGCAGGGATGACAGTGGCTCTTTAAAAATTATGATTTAAATCGAGTTGATTTAAATCAAGCCTTTTTACTAGTGATTTAAATCATGATTTAAATTGTGATTTAAATCAACTCGATTTAAATCAAATCCACCCTGATCTATGTATCTCTATATCTCTCTATCTACCTACCTACCAGTATCTATCTATGTACCTCTGTATCTACCTACCTATCTACCAGTATCTATGTATCTACCTACCTACCTACCTAATATCTACCTACCTACCTACCTAATATCTACCTACCTACCTACCTACCTACCTACCTACCTACCTACCTACCAGTATCTATCTATCTATCTATCTATCTATCTATCTATCTATCTATCTATCTATCTATCTAATCTTTCTATCTATCTATCCTGTTTCCCCCAAAATAAGGCATCCCCTGATAATAAGCCCAATCGGGCTTTTGAGCACATGGCAATACGGCCAAGCGCTTATTTCAGGGTTCAAAAAAATATAAGACAGGGTCTTATTTTCAGGGAAACACGGTATCTATCTATCCATCCATCCATCCACCTATCATCTATCTATCATCTATCTATCTATCTATCTATCTATCTATCTATCTATCTATCTCTGAAACATGGCATGCAGTACAATCCTTTAGCGTATCTGTCTGCAATCATGTTTTCATGGATCACAATAATTTTCTGAAGTAGAGATCAATAGATGGAGGGAATAAGAGGAACATAAATTTCATCTATTTGCCTTCCACTAAATGAGGCTTTTTGTGATCTGGTGAGTCCATCACAAGAGCTACTTTGAGACCTCGAGACCTTCTTTCAAAATTAGTATGCTTATCACCTTTGTCATTATTGCCATGACTGATATAACCACCCCTGTTACAGTCATCCACTCAGAATCAAAGATCTTGGGGGGGGGGAACTACAAAATAATTTAGACTTCAGCCCCAGCCCAAAAGGTTTGTCAACCTCTTAAGGACCAGACCTTCCTTGGAACTCAACAGGACAAGTGGACTGGAATTGTTCAGAGTAAACCAAGATAGCTATGATCATTCAGACAGAGTGAAGAAACACACAAACCGAGATGCATAGGCAGTCCTAAAAACACTTCATGTTGAATTCCTGCCAACTGCTTTGACAGGAATGGACTATCAGACCATAGAGTTGGAAGGGACCTTGGAGGTCTTCTAGTCCAGCCTCCTGTTCAAGCAGAAGACTCTATACAATTTCAGACCAATTGTTGTCCAGTCTCTTCTTAAAAGCCTCCAGTGATGGACCGTGCATAACTTTTCAAGGCAAGTCGTCCCACTGATTAATTGTTCTGTTAGGAAGTTTCTCCTTAGTTCTAGGTTGCTTCTCTCCTTGATTAGTTTCCATCCATTGTTTCTTTGTCCTGCCTTCTGGTGCTTTGGAAAATAAATTGACCCCCTCTTCTTTGTGGCAGCCCCTCCAATATTGGAACACTGCAATCCTGTCACCCCTAGTCCTTCTTTCCATTAAACTACTAGACATACCCAATTCCCGCAATTGTTCTTCATAGGTTTTAGCCTCCTAATCCTCTTTGTGGCTCTTTTCTGCACTCTTTCCAGAATCTCAACATCTTTTTTTCTTTTCTTTTTTTTTAATAATTGCGTTGAGCAAAACCGCATGCAGTATTCCAAGCACTTTGGAGCGCATTCGGTCACCCATTGAAATCTCCCCACCCACCCCGCCAAACAAAAGCTCAACTCACCGTATTCCAGCAGATAAGGTGATTGGTTTCGGGATCTTCAACCAGAGTCCACAACTTAGTAAGAAACGCTGGCACATTGCTGGTGTAACCGTCCATAGCAAGGGCTGCGGATGAGTCCTGCATGCTGCCGCAACTCACAAAAACTAACTCACACACCATCGTGGGGTTTTTTTGTTTTTTTTTGCAACAATGCCCCCACCCCCCACCCCTTCCTCTCTTTTGCATAGATCAGAAGGGAAAAAAGAGCCATTTAGTGTCCCAGGCAGAGCTGAGAAAACACCCCTTTTCCCCATAGGGGTCCTATCAGCAGAGGCATTGGCTCAGCTCCCAAAACACATCACAATATGCAGACACGGCTAATGGGGGTTGGGGGGGGGGAAACGACACGGCGACAATACTCTGAGCGAAAGCTCCCTGCTTTCAACTGCACAATGCCATGAAAAAAGATGCAACATCATGCAAAGAGAATACATGGTGCTTGCACAAACACAGGTGGTCAGCAAATCATGGGGGGGGGGGGGGGAGAGAGAGAGAGAGAGAGAGAGAGAGAGAGAGAAGAGGAAATGGGAATACCTACTCACTCACTCACTCTTTTTTTTTTTTTTTATTTGATTTATATGCCGCCCTTCTCCGGAGACTCAGGGCAGCTTACAATGCGCTAAGCAATAACCTTCATCCTTTTGTATATTTATACAAAGTCAGCTTATTGCCCCCACAATCTGGGTCCTCATTTTACCTACCTTAGAAAGGATGGAAGGCTGAGTCAACCTTGAGCCTGGAGAGATTCAAACCTGCAGTAATTGCAGGCAGCTGGTCTTAATAACAGGGTGCTTTAGACCACTGTACTACCAAGGCTCTTTTTAAGACTCTCTTTTTAAGACACTCTTTTTAAGACACTCTTGTGCTTACACAGCCGGCAGGAGAGAAGTGAAAATCAGTCTCTGCGCCTAGCTAGCCCCTTCAGGTGGGCTGCATTAATTTGTTCCGGGCGGTTTCTGGACCACCTTTTCATCTGATAAAACCCTGAAGGCGTTGGTGACGTAGGGCAGCTAAGCCAAGGAACAATGGCATCATCAGGAGAGAAACCTGCTACCTGTCAGAATAAACGAAGGGCAGCTGTAGAAGAGAAGATTTGTAGCTGGGGTTGAAATGAGGGGCCCTCTCTGAGCCTGAGGTGCTTCCTTGCAGACGTTCCATTACCCAACTAGGTAACATCATCAGTGCTAGAAGCGAGTGGGGTTTGCAGAGAGGAGGAGGAGGAATGTGGGGTCCTTGGTGCTCTCTGAGCTTGCTTGCAGAAATCTCATTATCCAACTATGTAACATGATCTGTGCTAGAAGGGAGTGGGGTTTGCGTGGAGGAGCTGGAGGAGGAGGAGGAGGAGGAGGAAGACTGTGGGGTTTGGTGCTCTGAGCTTGGTTGTTTTCTTGCAGACATTTCATTACCCAACTAGCTAACATCATCAGTGCTGGAAAGAGTGGAGTTTGTGGGAGGGAGAAGAGGAGGAGGACCGTGGGGCTCTTGGTGCTCTCGGGTTCAGTGGTGGGTTTCTCCCGGTTCGGTCCAGTTCAGCCGAGCCGGTAGTGGTGACGATATGACGTCACTGAACCGGTTCTCCCCCCCACCGCCCTCCCACCCCCTCCACGTTATTCTTACCTTTTATTTGGTCCCACCCCCAATCTATTGCTGCCTCCTGAGTCCCAGCTGATGACTAGAGGGAAAAAAACTGTTTATTCAAAGGGCCGCCCTTCAGCTGATCAGTGTTAAAAGCAAACAAATGAGTCGGGTCGTAAGTGCGAGGACTGGTCGTAAGTGCGAGGACCTTCCAGAAATGACTCTGACCAGCTAGCCACGCCCACCTAATCACATGACCTCCAAGCCACACCCACAAAATAAGCCACGCCCACTACCGAACCGGTAGTAAAAAAATTTAGAACCCACCCCTGCTCGGGTTCTTGCAGATGTTTCATTACCCAACTAGTTAATATCATCAGTGCTAGAAAGGAGGAGGAGGTGGGGGGGGGAGGGGGAGGAGGAAAACCGAAGACGTAAAATTGTGCTCATGTGACCACAAGAATGCTTCAACTAGGTATAAAGGTGAGTCAGTTGCCAAGTGCCTGAAAAACTGCAGAGACGGTACAGTGAGTGGAATCAGGTCATAAGTACCTTTTTTAGGGGGGGGGAGTGGGGTGTTCGTCCTACCTTGAGTGGTTGCTAAGCAACTGGTCATTAAGCAAGGACTACCCGCGCATCTCCAGAAAGAACTTTAGTTTCAATGCCATTAAAAACAGAATGCCCAAAAAAATTTTCCATTTTGGAAACAGTAGTTTTTTACATCCTGGGAGAAACCACAAGTCAGCAGCAAAATCTAGAGATGCTCAGAAGTTACTTAAAACTTTTGAGACAACAGGCTTCGGCATCTCTAACTACATGGACCTACATGACCCCCCAAAAAAGTTATTTTTTTTTTTAATTATCCAGGCAAAGATTTAAGGGAGCAGCAAGACCATTATAAACTGTTCGGTATATGCAAATCTTTATTGTGAATCACAAGTGACCATGGTGTTTACCAAATTAACAAGAAAATATTAAAATCTGCAGCTGAATTAGAATCCAGAATGCAGAGTAAACCTAATCAGGCGTTGTCCCCAAGAATTCTGTGCTCTTCCTTCTGTGATGTGACTGTGCATAGAGAGAGATTATTATTATTATTTTTTTTTAAAAAGCAAAGATCCTTTATGAACGTTCCTGGATCAGGCGATTTATAAAATGGATCTGTGCAGCAATATCAAAATAAAAGAAAGCAATTTACCGGTATATATATATATATTAAAAAGCCATAAAAAAACAATTTTATATAAATTGTTCACTCTGGGGGAAGAAAGTGCATCCGTACTCCCTTTTACGTCCCAAATCGTGGTTGCATTTATGCTTCAGAACCAGGGGGGATATTCACCTGGTACCTTGTGCCAAAGTTAAGGGCACAATATTGGTAACATAGAAGACAAGAGTGTGGTGGACAGCGTGTAGTTCCTCAAGTGAGGGCAGTGCAAGAGAAACGCGTCCACCACGGCTTGGCTAACCACGCAGTAGCAATGCACCTCCTTCAGGCACCCGCACTTCTTGGCCAACTCGATCAGGGAGGAGTTGACAGTATCTGAAGCGGCCGTGTAAAGGATGAGCCTCTCCACTGTCTGGCTGTAGCAGTTGGCGATCAGCCTCAGCTGATCCGTCACGTAAGGAAGGTAATTGAACTGCAGGGACTTCATGGGAATGCTAGCCTTCAGGACGCCGGAGACCTTGGTGGGGTCCACCATGGCGGCGAATTCAAAGTTCACCCGGAACTGGGGGTGTCTCTTGCTCATCGCGGCCCAACATTCTTCGGGAATGTGCTTCTCCAGACCTCCGTACAAAACATCCAGACATTGGAACGGTCCCCTGTTGGGTTTCACCAGTTCTTGGAACAGGCCCTCCGACAGGCTGGTGTAATAGACACCTAAAACCGTCAGTTTCGGGCAAATCCGCGCCACCTCCACGATGGTCTCCGGTTTCAGGATGATGACTCCAGGAGCTCGGTTGTTGATCAGGAAGGTGCGAAGGTTTGGGTTCTTGGAAGCCAGGAGAAGCACCGTGCCGTTGTCCAGGATGAAGGGCATTTGCCGAAAGTCGACGTGTTGCAGATCGATGTTATGGTTGCATTGGCAAAGCAGGCGGACGCTTTGCAGGAGGTCTTGGCCAGAGTAGAAGTAAGGACTCAACCCCTGGCAGATAATGTGCAGCGCCCGCAGCTTGACTCTCTTATGGGCCAGCATGTCCATGATTTGGGTGGCAAGTCTTCGGTTTAACTCCAAGTACTGGTTCAGTACAATCTTCAGGTGTCTGATATGGACCAGGTACGGGTGTAACGTCCTAAATATGCAGGCCTCCTCTTCCTCTTCGAAGTCAAAACTGAAAGGATGGGGTGTGGGAGGGACAAAGAAACCTTAATGAGGCCACCTAGCAAGCTCCCCGAAACAGAACAGTGGAGGTCCTTGCAACCTCGTTTACAGATTATCCTCGACTTACAACCATTTGGTTTGGTGACCGTTCAAAGCAAAAACAGCACCGACGTACGGCTGTTGTTCAAGCTTGCAACCGTCGCAGTATCCCCCGTGGTCACACGATCAAAAATTTGGACGCTTGGCAACTGGCGTGTACTTATGACGGTTGCAACGTCCCGGGGTCACGTGATCCTCTTTTGCGACCTTGTGGCAAGCAAAGTGAAAGGGGAAACCCAGATTCACTTAACGGCTGGGGCTAATTGTGGAGAGCTTTGTTGTTATAGAAATGGCTCGTTTATAAAGGTAAAGGTTCCCCTCGCACATATGTGCTAGTGCCGTGATGGCGAACCTATGGCACGTGTGCCACAGGTGGCACGCGGAGCCATATCTGTGGGCACACGAGCGTTGTCCTAGCTCAGCTCCAGCGCACATATGTGCACCGGCCAGCTGATTTTCGGGCGTTCCGGGCTGACCAGAAGTCGGGAAATGGCCTGTTTCCGGCCTCCGGAGGGCCTCCGGGGAGGTGAGAAAGGCCATTTTTGCCCTCCCCAGGCTCCTAGAAAGCCTCTGGAGCCTGGGGAGAGCAAAAAACGGGCCTTCCAGTCCCACCTGACTTTGGGAAACAAGCCATTTCCAGCCTCCAGAGGGCCTCCGGTGGGGTAGGGAAAGTCATTTTCACCCACCTAGAAAGCCTCTGGAGCCTGGGAAGGGCGAAAAATAGGCCTATTGGGCCCACTTTGCCATTGCGTGCCAAAAGCATGGGGACCCTGGGGGGGGGGGTCATGTGAGCATGTGCGGGAAGGCGGGGGCATTGAATTATGGGTGTGGCCATGTGCACGTGCGACCCTCCCCCACTCCCCCCGCTTTTAGCACACGACGGCAAAAAGGTTAGCCATCACTGTGCTAGTCGTTCCCGAATCTAGGGGGTGGTGCTCATCTCCGTTACAAAGCTGAAGAGCCAGCGCTGTCCAAAGACGTCTCCGTGGTCATGTGGCCGGCATGACTCAATGCCAAAAGTGCATGGTGGTAGTCCCTGTTTTTCTACTTGCATTTTTTACCTGCTTTCGAACTGCTAGGTTGGCAGAAGCTGGGACAAGGAATGGGAGCTCACCCCGTTATGCGGCACTAGGGATTCAAACTGCTGAACTGCCGACCTTTCGATCAACGAGCTCAGCATCTTAGCCACTGAGCCACTGCGCCCCTCTTAGGCTAGTTTATATTACTATGTAAAAATAAAACCAATTGGAAGTCAATGCCTTTCCTTTCTCTTTTCCATTTTCTCTACGTTTTTCCCTTCCCTTTTCCCTCCTTTATTTCCCTACTATTTTCTTTGTATTTTTGTATTATTTTATATTTTATTTTGTACATTTTTATATTATAAATTATAATTAGTTTATTATGAAGTATTTTTATATATTTTATATCATAATTAAAAAAAAGGATTGGGAACAACTGTGGCAAGAAAGCTTGCAAAATGGGCCAAAACTCACTTAAGTGTCTTGCTTAGCAACAGAAATGTTGGGCTCAGTTGTGGTCGTAAATCAAGGACTATCTGTACAGGCGGTCTTTGACTTAACAGCTTGTTTAGTGACCGTTCAAAGTTACAACAGCACTGAAAAAAGTGACTTGTGACCATTTTTCATACTTATGACCATTGCAGCATCCTCAGGGTCACGTGATTTACAGTTGGATGCTTGACAACGGATTCACATTTACAATGGTGGCAGTGTCCTGGGGTCACGTGATCCCCTTTGGTGACTTTCTGGCAAGCAAAGACAATGGGGATAGCCAGATTCACTTAACAACCGTGTGACTAATTTAACAATGGCAGGGATTCACTTAACACATGTGACAAGAAAAGTCATGAAGTCGGACAAACTCACTTAACAAATGTTTCACTTAGCAACATTAATTCTGGGCTCAAAATTGTGGTCGTACCTTGAGAGCTACCTGTACATTTAAAAGGACCTTGGCCAGTGGTGGGTTGCTACCGGTTCTCCCCAGTTCTTGCGAACCGGTAGTGGAAATTTTGAGTAGTTCGGAGAACCGATAAATACCATCTCTGCCTGGCCACGGCCCCAATCTATTCGCTGCCTCCCGAGTCCCAGCTGATCGGCTAGAAGGAAAAAAATCAGGGCTCACTTGACAAAGAAGAGGAGAAAAAAAAAACACAAGACATCGTCGCTTTAAATTGAGAAGCCAAGAAGCCTCCCAACTGATCAGCTAGAACCGATCCGCTCCTTGTAAACCGCTTGGTGGTGGTAGATTGGCAACTGAGGCCAAGCTGCCTGAAAGCGGTTTCCGGTGCTCTCAGTGGTGGCAGAGCAGCAAAAAATTGTTTAAACTCTTGCCGCAGTGCATCAAAGGGCTGCCCTACAGCTGATCAGCGGTAAAAGGCAGTGTGGTGGTAGACCAATGCGCTCCAAAAACAAATGGGTAGACCGGAACGGCTCTGCAAGCAGTTAAAAGCCTGGTAGACCAGTACCTCTGCTAAATCCTAAAGAATTGTTTGGTCAAAAAGTCACAGTGACTCTGAGATAATCGGACAATGGCTTAAAGCCAGATCTGCTAGAGATGTTTCTCTCAGGCTGACTGAGTCAAAACTGGGCCCGAGAGGAAGGAACAAGGGGCGTGGTCAAAAAACTATGACTCCCCTTGACGTGACATTGAGTTGACCACACCTACCCAGTCACATGACCATCAAGCCATGCCCACTGGCACATGACCATCAAGCCACGCCCACAAAATAAGCCACGCCCACAGAACCAGTAGTAAAAAAATTTAGAACCCACCCCTGACCCTGGCATACAGGTGCTCCTTGACTTGCGACCATTTGTTTAGCCACTGAATTATAACAGCCCTGAAAAAAGAGACTTCAGATCAATCCTCACACTTATAGCTATGTCACAGCATTCCCACCGTCCTTCGACGCAAATTCGGGCACTTGGAAAAGCAGCATGGATTGATGAGAATTGTTAGAGTTTCGGGGTCCTTTTAATCACCATTTGTACCTTCTCAGATGGCTTTCCACAAGCAGAGAGGATGGGGAAAGCCATACAGGTATAGTCCTCGACTTGCGACCACGATTGAGACCAAACTTTTTGTTGTTAAGTGAGACATTTATTAAGTGACTTTTTGCCCCGATTTTTCTTGCCACCGTCAAGTAAATCGTTGCAGTAGGTAAGTTAGCAAACTGGTTGTGAAGTGAATCTGGCTTCCACATTGACCTTTTGCTTGTCACAAGGGAGCACAAAGTGATCATGTGACCAGAGGGCATGGCAACCCATCGTAAGTATGAACCAGTTGCCTGGCATCTGAATTTTGATCATGTGATCTTGATGGCAACTGAGGAAAACGGTCCTAAGTTACGTTTTTCAGTGCCGTTAGTAACTCTGAACGGTCACTAAAACTGTTGTAAGTCAGGGACAACCTGTATTCGCTTAACAACCGGGCCACTCACTTAACAACTACAGTGAGTCCCTTAACCACCATGGCAATAAAAAGGTTGCAAAATCAGCATGGCTCACTGAACCAATCGCCTTGCTTAGAAATGGAAATTCTGGCCCCGTTGTGGTTGCAAGTCGAGAATTATCTGTAGTGCAAACCTTCTCCTCTCTCGTACTACTTATAGCAGTGACTTTAGCCCCAAAATATTAGAGACCGTCCATCTCTCCAGAAGACAATTATTCTATAAACAGGCAGTTTTAGAAGAGGGGGTCAAATTATTCTCCAAAACACCAGAAGGCAAGGCAAGAAACAATGGATGGAAACTAACCAAGGAGAGAAGCAACCTAGAATGAAGGGGAAACTTCTATTCCTAGCTTCACAGAAGTAAACCATGGTTTACCGAGCATGCTAAGCCTGGTAAGACCACACCTGGAATATTGCAACCAATTTTGGTCGCCATAATAAAAAAAAGATGTTGAGAATTTGGAAAAAGTTCAGAGAAGAGCAACTAAAATGATCGAAGGCCTGGAAACTAAAACATACCAAGAACGCTTGCAGGATTTGGGTTTGGCTAGTCCAGGGGTCTGCAACCTTAAACACTCAAAGAGCCATTTGGACCCATTTCCCACAGAAAAGAAAACACCGGGAGCCACAAAACCCTTCCCGTGCCTGACTATCTCTTGAGCAGCCACAAAACTAGCCTATAAAGTTGAATTAAACGTTCTGTTTTCTTCTGAACCTTTTCTTTTCTTGGATTTATCCATGGTTGGCCTACCAGGGTTTGAAAAGCTCAATAAATTGCGTGCAGGCGGGTATCGCACATTGGCGGTTGTGACACATATTTTGAGTGACAGGGAGCCACAGCAGAGGGGTGAAAGAGCCACATGCGGCTCCCTGGGCTAGTCTAAAGAAAAGAAGAATTAAGGACGACATGAAAGCAGTATTCCAGTATTTGAGGAGCTGTCACAAAGCAGAGGGGTTCAATTTTTTTCTCCAAAGCACCTGCAGGCAGGACAAGAAACAATGGATGGAAACTAATCCAAGAGAGAAGCAACCTGGAATTAAGGAGAAACTTCCCAACAGGGAAGACAATTAACCAGTGGAACAGCTGGCCTCCAGAAGTTGTGGGCACTGCAATACTCAAGGTTTTTAAGAAGAGACTAGACAGCCACTTGTCTGAGATTGTATAGGTTCTTCTGCTTGAGCAGAGGGCTGGACTAGAAGACCTCCAAGGTCCCTTCCAGGCAGTGGTGGGATTCAAGTAATTTAACAACCGGTTCTCTGCCCTCATGATTTCTTCCAACAACCAGTTTGCCAAACTGCTCAGAAAGTTAACAACCGGTTCCCCCGAAGTGGTGCGAACCGGCTGAATCCCACCACTGCTTCCAGCTCTATTCTATTCCAATTTCTACAATTACACCCATGCACTCATTACTATTACAAATATGCCTCCAATCTAACCATAATACACTGGAGGTTTTTAAGAAGAGATTGGACAGCCATTTGTCTGAAATGTTATAGAGTTTCCTGCCAGAGCAGGGGGTTGGACTAGAAGACCTCCAAGGTCCCTTCCAATTCTGTTTTTTTTTTTCCCGTTATAATACATTCCGTAAAGGCAGCAGTAGACCAATAAAACCGAACACAGCCTTTTCTAACACTAGATTCATTCCCAGGACCATTTTTTCCTACTGCACTGGGTGTCACTACACAGGAAGCCATCATGTATGTTACTTGCTGGAAGTTGGCCTGTTGTGTGAACCCCCGTTTCTGTGGTTTGTAAGCCTTCATTTATGGCTCAAGATCTTTTGCAAGATCTTTGTGGTCTGTTTGAGAAACCTAAGACAGACAAAAGAAATAGCAGCTGAACAAGGTCTGAATTACACGATATAAACAATTGCCCTACATCTGGACGACAATGTCTGTTTGGTCCTGAGACAGATGCCAATCTTCTTGGAAGAAACCAATCATGGATGATCTTATCCATGCTAGGCTTAGATGAAGCCTGAAGGAAGCTCACGCAGAAAATTTTAGATCTTGATTTATTGAGAGAATTTGACGTTTCTCACCTCTGCCCCTAACATCTTACACACTTTCACAATTCTCCAATTTTTTTTAGCCCCACCTCACAGGGGGCCTTTACTTTAGCACATCTGGATGCTCAGCCCCCCCAAGTTGGGTGTCACGGTTCCGACGGAGGCCCTAATTAAATCATGAGCCTTGAGCCAAGCTTCAAAAGAAAACCAGTTATTTATTAGGAGCTTCATGTCCCCACGTTCCAAGTGAAGCCAACTCTGACCCCACGTAATTTACGGCCCAGACTTGACCCTGTTACCCCCCTCCCCCAGGGTGTGTCATCAGTCACATTCTCCAATGGAGCAATTTTGCGGGTTGTAGAGATCACTCCCCTCCGGCCACTGTGGATAACCCTGGGAGACAGCCTTGAAAGAGATATGTTTGGAATGTGCTTTTGTTTTTGACTGCCGTGCTACTTCGCCGTTTTCCCATCCCCCTTGCCTATGGCAACTCGAGAGCAGGCCAGGGATGCTTTGCGAGTTGACATTGGGCAGATACTGGTAGTCCTTGATTTATGACTACTTCTGGGACCAGAATTTCCATCACTAAGCAAGGAAAATTTAAATTCAAAATTACAACAACAACAATGGAAAAAGTGACTTTGGGCCGCTCCTTCCACTTACAACTATTGAAACATCCTCGAGATCAGACGATCAAAATTCAGGCACTTGGCAACCAGCATGTAATTATAATGGTTGTAGCATCTCAGTTAAATGATCATCATTTGCAACCTTCCCAGCTGGCTTCCACCAAGCACACCATTAGCCAACTTTGTTTAACCACCATGTGATTCACCTAATTGCTACAGTAGTGGCCAAAATTGTGGAAACCTTTTGGGAAAAGTGTATTTTTGAGGTTTGATGGCTAATAACACCACTTTTTTTGGGAGTTTCAAAATAATCCTATTCCACTGCTGGAACAGCCTGGGAATAGCCCAGACCTTCACCCAATTGAAAATCTATGGAGCCAACTAAAGAAACTTGTTTGTCAGAAGCAACTCAGCAATAAAACCCAGTTAATAGAAGCCATCGTTTCATCTTGGTTTCACATTAGAACAGCTGCAGAACTCAAAGACTTGGTTCACTCCATGGGAAGATGTTGTAAGGCCGTAATTCATGCTAAAGGTTACCCAACTAAGGATTGACATGGTGATAATTTCTGTATATCTCATTTTTTTCTATGGTGATAATTTCTGTGTATCTCCTTTTTTCTACCTGTTTCACTTTTCTTCTCTATACTGTAACTGCTATTCTAATAGCAAATCCTCCATAAAAGTGATTGCATTACATTCTTGATTAAATTATCTTTCCATTGATATATAATTTTATGGTACTACTCCCCCCCAAAAAAGAAGTGATGTTATTAGGCAGTTTTAGAAAATACACTTTTCCCAAAAGGTTTCCACAAGTTTGGCCGCTACTATATAAGTGATACGTTTAACAACTATGACAAAAAAAGTTTGTTAAATTGGACTTAAGTCACTTGACCGCATTGCTTAGTAAATACTGGTCCCAATTGTGGTTGCAAGTCTATTTGTACAGGTAGTCCTCAACTTTCAACAGTTCATTTAGTGACTTTTCAAAGTTACAACGGCACTGAAAAATGTGACTTATGACCGTTTTTCAGAGTTAGGACCTTTGCAGCATCCCAATGATCATGTGATCAAAATTCAGATGTTTGCCAACTGACTCACATTTATGACAGTTGCAGTGTCCCAAGGTTACGTGATTCCCCTTTTGTGGCCTTCTGGCAAGCAAAGTCAGTAGGGAAGCCAGATTCACTTAACAACTTTATTATGTTCCAATAAAAATAATATTGTGCTTCAATGGAATGGGAATGGAATGGAGAAGAGAAGAGAAGAGAAGAATGGAATAAGAATGGAGTAGAGTAGAATAGAGGAATAGAGGAAAGTTAAGTTACATTAAGAAATAGAATAGAATAGAATAGAATAGAATAGAATAGAATAGAATAGAATAGAATAGAATAGAATAGAATAGAACAGAACAGAACAGAACAGAACAGAACAGAACAGGAGTAACAGAAAGAATGGAGTGGAGTGGAGTGAAGTGGAATGGAATGGAATATAGAAAAGGAAGAGAATATAGAATAGAATAAGAATAGAGTAGAGTAGAGTAGAGTAGAGTAGAGGAATAGAATAGAGGAATAGAATAGAGGAATAGAGGAAAGGACTAGAGGAAAGTTAAGTTAAGTTAAGTTAAGTTAAGTTAAGGAATAGAATAGAATAGAATAGAATAGAATAGAATAGAATAGAATAGAATAGAATAGAATAGAATAGAATAGAATAGAATAGAACAGAACAGAATAATAGCATGGCATGGCATGACATAGGAGTCCATCTTCTAGTCCAGCTCCCTGCTCAAGCAGGAAATGGTCTCTAGATATTGGTATTTGACTTATATGTTATTGTGTTTTACTAATCCGGGTGAAATGTTAATCTATATTGCTAGTCTGTGTATGACATGCCACACGCTAAATAAATAGTGATTTCGCACATTGTGCTGGGCAGTAGGCTCATGATCCCTAAAGACTGATCCATGCCACATGACCAAACCAAATTGAGGGCTTAACGTGAAGCCTGAGCTCCAGCCAATGGCATATGCCATTCCCTGGACAACAGTAGCCTCTTCTTACCTAAGTTCTGTAAAACTCCAAGCCGCAGAGGAAGCCACAGCCGCAGCCCATCTCTTGCACACGTGTAAAACCGTGTATCTGTCTCTAACCGAGAGGAAGGAAAAGACACCGGCCATAATTTCTTCGGGCATGTAGTTCCAAAGATCGTCAATCTCGTTAGACATCCTCCGAGCCTCGAGGACGACTCCCTGCAAAATTAAGCCCAACCCCCAAAACAAGAAAGGAAAAGTCCATCAGCAAAAATTTTAAAAAGGGGATAGAGCAGTGATGGCGAATCTTTTCAGCACCGAGTGCCCAAACCAGAACACGCGTGCATGTGTGTGCACGTGCCAGAGCGCCGGAAACATGAAGATCAGCTGGCCGGCGCACACATGCCTGTTTTGGGGCCGTTTTCAGGGTGTTTTGGGGGGCGTTTTCAGGCCAAAAACAGGCCTGAAAACAGCCTAAAAAACAGCCGGGAAACAGCCGGGAAAATGGCCTGTTTTGGGGCTGTTTTCAGGCCGTTTTGGGGGGCGTTCTCAGGCCAAAAACAGGCCTGAAAACAGCCCCAAAACAGCTGGAAAACAGCCTAGAAAATGGCCTGCAAAATGGCCTGTTTTGGGGCCGTTTTCAGGCTGTTTTGGGGGCCGTTTTCAGGCGTTTTCCGGGCTGTTTTCCAGCTGTTTTTTGGGCTATTTTCAGGCCTGTTTTTAGCTTGAAAACACCCTCCAAAACAGCCTGAAAACCCCCGAAACAGCCCCAAAACAGGCCATTTTCCAGGCTGTTTTCCGGGCTGTTTTCCAGCTGTTTTTGGGCCGTTTTAAGGCCTGTTTTTGGCCTGAGAAGGCCCCCCAAAACCGCCGGAAAACAGCCCGGAAAACGGCTGGAAAATGGCCTGTTTTGGGGCCATTTTCAAGCCGTTTTTCAGTGCTCCGGCACCAGCGAAGACCAGCTAGTAGGCGTGCCAGACACCAGGAAAGCAGCTAATGATGGTGCGTGTGCCCACAGAGAGGGCTCTGGGTGCCACCTCTGGCACACATGCCATAGGTTCGCCATTTACGGGGAGAGAGTTTCATTTCTAAGCATTTCACTCTAGGGCGGGAGTGTCAAAACTCGATTTCATTGAGGACCGCATCAGGGTTGTGTTTGTCCTTGGGGGGGGATGGATGTGGCCAGGGTGGGTGTGGCCAGCTCAATGTCACTCATGTCGGGGGCGCTTGTGGAGGCCCAAGCACTCTACCAGTGAAAACGGGCTCCCGAGCTCCATTTTCGGCTGCGACGGCCGCCTGCAACCCTCTGCCAGCCAAAACGGAGCTCGGCTAGGCTGCACGCGGCCTTCCTGAACTCCATTTTCACTGGCACTGTGGGCCGGTCCTTCAAAGTCTCCAGGGCAGCCCTGTGGGCCAGATCTAAGTACCCCACAAGCCGAATCCGGGCCCCAGGCCTTGAGTTTGACACCTCTGCTCAAGGGGTTACCACCCATCCCAAGGAAACCAGCAGAAGAAGCTGCCCGGAGTGACAAAACAGAGCGGCAAATAAATTTAATAAATAAAATGAATAGACTGAATCGCAACCGAAGACCACCAAAGGGGCACCTCTTATTAGGATAGCTGAGTGTCATCATCCCAAGAGCATTCTTAATTCCCAACCATTAAATATTACTTTGCGCTCAAAATATTTCCTGCCCAAGTTCTGCAAGAACTCTTAAACCTCATGACCTTTGGGTGCTCCCACCTGAAACCTTGGAAGATTCGGAGTGAAAAAGCCCCTCTCTGTCCCAGAGGCCACCTAGAGAACCTTCAGCCAACCCTTTAGACCCCAAGTCACTCTGTAATCTGTGAACAGTCCTCCTCCCCTTCCCCTACTCCTTCACTACACAAACCTTCTAGCCCTGATGATGTTACCTAGTTGGGTAAGAAGACGTCTGCAAGAAAACAACCAAGCTCAGACCTACTGCATATAAACAAGGGAATAATTCACACTCACTAGCCCTGATGATGTTACCTACTTGTGGAATGAAATGTCTGGAAGAAAACTAGCAAGCTCAGAGAGCACCAAGGACCTCACAGCCCTCCTCCCCTCTCCCCCTCCTTCACTACAGGAACCCCACTCCCCTCTAGCCCTGCTGATGTTACCTAGTTGGGTAAGGAAATGTCTGCAAGAAAACTATCCAGTTCAGACAGCACCAAGGACCCCACAGTCCTCCTCCCCTCTCCCCCTCCTCCTCCCAAACCCCACTCCCTTCTGGCCCTGATAATGTTACCTAGTTTGGTAATGAAATGTCTGCAAGAAAACCACCAAGCTCAGAGACCACCCTTTAAAGTTATCCCTCAGAAAAGACCAAGGATTTCACAGTCATCCTCCATCCTCCTCCTCCTCCCAAACCCCACTCCCTTCTGGCCCTGATAAGGTTACCTAGTTGGGTAATGAAATGTCTGCAAGAAAACTATCCAGTTCAGAGAGCACCAAGGACCCCACAGTCCTCCTGCCCTTCTCCTACTCCTTCACTACACAAACCCCACTCCCCTCTAGCCCTGATGATGTTACCTAGTTGGGTAAGAAAACGTCTGCAAGAAAAGTACCCAGCTCAGAGAGCACCAAAGAGCCCACAGTCCTCCTCCCCCCTCCCCCGCCTCCTCCCAAACTTCACTCCCTTCTAGCCCTGATGATGTTACTTAGTTGGGCAATGAAATGTCTGCAAGAAAACCACCAAGCTCAGAGAGCACCAAGGACCCCACAGTCGTCCTCCTCCTCCACTACACAAACCTCACTCCCCTCTAGCCCTGATTATATTACCTAGTTGGGTAAGGAGACGTCTGCAAAAAAACTACCCAGCTCAGAACTACTGCATATAAACAAGGAAATAAGCCACACTCACTAGCCCTGATGATGTTACTTAGTTGGGTAAGGAAACATCTACAAGAAAACTATCCAGCTCAGAGAGCACCAAAGAGCCCACAGTCCTCCTCCCCCTCCTTCTCCTCCTCCCAAACCTCACTCCCTTCTAACCCTGATGATGTTACCTAGTTGGGTAAGGAGACGTCTGCAAAAAAACTATCCAGCTCAGAGCGCACCAAGGACCCCTCACAGTTTTATGCCTTGGGCAAACTAAAGTTCACCTCAGTAAAGTTAGCCACGGTTTGCCAATATTGCCAGAACGGGGTGGAGGGTGGGGGTCGAGCGGGGGTCTCAGCGGCTCAACACCCCACTCGGAAGGGGGAGGGGGAAAAAAAACAACAACCCTGCAGGCTCACCAACACACCCACCTGCCCTCCGACCGCCAGCCTCGCGCGACGCGCATCGCGCCTTCTTTTTCTGCCGCAGCAGCTCCACGTGGCTCTGGAGCGGCACCTGCGCGCAATTAGCGCCACCTTCGACGGCGGCAGGTAGGGGGGGAGTGCGCATGCTCGGGGAAGCCGCCCCCCCCCCGCTTCCTCACCTGCCGCTTTAACTCTTTCCTTGCCGCAGGTGGTTGGCACTTTGCGCTGTTGGGAGATCAGCAGTTCTGTCCAGCCAGGATTCCCTCCTATTCCTAGCTTCACAAGAAGAGGTAAACCATGGTTTACCCAGCCTGCTATAAGCCTGGTAAGACCACACCTGGAATGCTGCGACCCCAGTTTACTGCAAAACAGATGTTGGGACTTTGGAAAAAGTTCAGAGAAGAGCGACTCAGATGATCGAAGGCCTGGAGGCTAAAACATTAGGATGAAGGGCATCTGCAGGATTTGGGTCTGGCTAGTCTTAAGGAAAAGAAGAATTAGGGGGGACATGCCGTGGTGAAATCCAATTTTTTTTTACTACCGGTTCTGTGGGCTGGCAGGGGAAGGATACTGCAAAATCTCCATTCCCTCCCCACTCCAGGGGAAGGATATTGCAAAATCTCCATTCCCATCCCACTCCAGGGGAAGGATACTGCAAAATCTCCATTCCCATCCCACTCCAGGGGAAGGATACTACAAAATCCCCATTCCCTCCCCACTCTGGGGAAAGGATATTGCCAAATCCCCATTCCCATCCCACTCTGGGGCCAGCCAGAGGTGGTATTTGCCCCCCCCCAACTCCAGGGGAAGGATACTACAAAATCCCCATTCCCTCCCCACTCCTGGGGAAAGGATATTGCCAAAATCCCCATTCCCATCCCACTCTGGGGCCAGCCAGAGGTGGTATTTGCTAGTTCTCCAAACTACTCAAAATTTCCGCTACGGGTTCTCCAGAACCTGTCAAAACCTGCTGGATTTCAACCAACAACTTCATCATAAATCTAAAATAATCTATAAAAAAAAGAAGAAAAGGAAACCACAATATATTAAAATGCCAATTAAAAAAAATTAAATCAGTTTGGCTAGTCTAAGGAAAGAAAGAATTAGGGGTGACATGATAGCAGTACTCCATTATTTGAGAGGCTGCCACAAAGAAGAGGGGGTCAAATTATTCTCCAAAGTACCAAAAGGCAGGACAAGAAACAATGGTTGGAAACTAACCAAGGAGAGAAGCAACCTGGAATTAAGGAGAAACTTCTATTCCTAGCTTCACAGGAGTAAACCATGGTTTACCCAGCATGCTAAGCCTGGTAAGACCACACCTGGAATACTGCAACCAATTTTGGTCACCATACTAAAAAAAAAGATGTTGAGACTTTGGAAAAAGTTCAGAGAAGAGCAACTAAAATGACGAAAGGCCCCTGGAGACTAAAACATACCAAGAAAGGTTGCAGGATTTGGGTCTGGCTAGTCTAAAGAAAAGAATTAGGGGTGACATGATAGCAGTGTTCCAATATTTGTGGGGCTGCCACAAAGAAGAGAGGATCAAATTATTCTCCAAAGCACCAGAAGGCAAGAGAAGAAGCAACGGATGGAAACGAATCAAGGAGAGAAGCAACCTGGAATTGAGGAAAAAACTTCCTAACAGTGAGGACAATTAACCAGTGGAACAGCTTGCCACCAGAAGTTGCGGGTGCTCCATCATTGGAGGTTTTTAAGAAGAGACTGGACAACCATTTGTCTGGAATGGTATGGGATTTCCTACTTGAGCAGGGGGCTGGACTAGATGACCTCCAAGGTCCCTTGGAGCTCTGTTCTATTTTATGTTGCCACATGTTGGCTTGGTGTATTGTATGAGCCCAGCTGGTGTGGCTCATAATCCATTATTTACAGCTTAGTGTTTTGGGTTATGCTAGCTGGGGGTTGCTTAATAAGCCATGATTAAGCAGATTGAGGCTTGTTTACTGAATGGATGTTCTCAATAGAAGGCTGATAGAGCAACCACTGTTGAATCGTGGTTGCATTATGGCTTGAAGGGGAGATGCTTAAGTGAGTAAGTTGTGTAGCTCCTCAGGACAGTTTCCGAATGAAAGTACAACTGGCAACTTATCAAAGAGAATTGTGAGACCTTAGAGGTCTTCTAGTCCAACCCCATCTATACCATTCTGGACAAATGTCAATCTCGTCTTAAAAACTTCCAATGATGGAGCACCCTTGTGTTATATCAAGAGTAAAATACAATGAAAGTTGGAAAACTTTATTGGGGTATTTAATTTTTTTCACAAAAAAACCCCCACGTCAATCTGCAATTTTATTAATCACTCTCTAAACCTGTACACCAATTTTCCCAACAAGGTATTTCGCAGGTTTGTTGGGCCTCGGTTCCATAAGGCCCAGCCAGAACTGAAGTCCCACTCACATTTGGAGAGAGAAACTTTGCGGACACATTCTGAAGCGGCGCATAAATCAATCTCACTGACCCTCTTTAAAATGTTGCAAAGCTTCCACTGCCTTCGGCAAACGTTGCTGTCATGCAGAATTATTTTTCTGCAGATTTTTCCATGCTGAATGTTGCAATAAAACACTCAGTGGATTATTTTGTTATGTTTTAAATATATTGCATCAGTTGGGGGGGGTTGTTTTAGTTTTGGGTAACATTATAATCTTCCTTTCTATGATTTCTTTGGGTTTGAATTGATAGAAAGGCAGGATACAAACGCTTAAGGAAGCACAATTGTGTCCCACCAAAATGATGATTGTGTGAGAACTAAACAGGACAACGGCTTTTTCTCTTCCTTGCTTCCCTGGAAATGATTCTGAAAGGTAGACTTCCGTGGACTCTGGATGCTCCATTGAGTAATAAATCCTGATGAGTCTGTTGTCCGTGACTTTTCTAATTATTTCTCTACAGCCAAGCAGGTGGTGGTTATGGCTGGACCCCTTGGCTTCAAATTCCATCCATTAAATGAATGCTTTAAAAATAATATAGAAAGATACAGGAAGGAAAAACTAAACACTCTTCTCCCCCATCATGTGAGCTGGCACAGAATTGTTATTCATGTGTTGGGAAAAAATTCCAGAAATTGGTCTCTACCTTATTACAGATAGTCCTCAACTTACAACAATTCATTTAGTGGCCATTCAAAGCTACAGTGGCACCCCAAAAATAACTTATGACCATTTTTCATGCTTACGACCGTTACAAGCTTCCCCGTGGTCATGTGATCAAAAATTCAACCGCTTGGCCACTGACTCATATTTATGACGGTTGCAGAGTCCCGGGGTCATGCGATCCCCTTTTGTGACCATCTGACAAGCAAAGTTTCAACTCGCAAAGCATCCCTGGCCTGCTCTCGAGTTACTATAGGCAAGGGGGATGGGAAACCGACCAAGCAGCATGGCAGCCAAAGACAGGAACACATTCCAGACATATCTTTCTCAAGGCTGTCTCTCAGGGTTACCCACAGCATCCGGAGGAGAGTGATCTCTACAACCCACAAAATTGCTCTGGATGTGATTGATGACACACCCCGGGTAGAGGGTGGGGGGGAAACAGGGTCATGATTGGGGCCGTAAATTACGTGGGGTCAGAGTTGGCTTCATTTGGATATGTGCTGAACATGGAGCTCCTAATAAATAACTGGATTTCTTTTGAAGCTTGGCTCCAGGCTCATGATTTAATATCTGTATTTAAAACTGCCTTCTTGAACAATGATATGTTTTGTGTGAACCTGTATATCACTGTCCCAAATTCTCAACAATGATCACACTGGCTGGTTCACATCTTATACTAAATCCCATTGATCTGAATTACAGGTTGACAAATTCAGAATTTGCTATATTCACGCACTAAATCATAGTCACCTCATCAACTAAATCATAGTTGAATTTGTCTTTGCCTTAGCATGAATGTGTGAATCAAATTATCGTGGGCTGTAACCTGTGGCATTTCTTTTTTAAGTCATGTTTATTGAGTAATTCAGAAATGACTGCATGTTCAGTCCAAATAAACCACATTGTAATGTATTAAAAATAGTGCAATGCAGAGCAGATGAATCTGGTCAGTCCAATGACAAAAGGCTGGGAGTTTTATTGTGAACTAGGATAATAAAATATAATATGCATTGTACTAGAATTCGACAAGAGTAAAGAAAATAAACAATTCAGCAACTCAAAATATTCTTATTAAACTAGGTCCAGTGCCAAGGAACAGAAAGAGATGGTGTATATATGCTTTGGAAGATGTGAACATAAATATATATAAAAAACTTCAAATTATGTGCTCCCAACTGTTTATGGGTTTTAATTTGGCTTGAATTAGGTTTGTGAATTTATTTCTACCCTGGTTTATGTTTACTCCAGAACAGAGGTGGGTTGCAGCAGGTTCTGACCAGTTCTGGAGAACCGGTAGCGGAAATTTTGAGTAGTTCGGAGAACCGGTAGTAAAAATTCTGACTGGCCCCGCCCCCATCTATTCTCTGCCTCCCAAGTCCCAGCTGATCGGGAGGAAATGGGGATTTTGCAATATCCTTCCCCTGGAGTGGGGTGGGAATGGAGATTTTACAGTATCCTTCCCCTGCCACACCCATCAAGCTACGCCCACCAAGCCATGCCACGCCCACCCAGCCACACCCACAGAACCAGTAGTAAAAATTTTTGAAACCCACCACTGCTCCAGAAGTGAATTTAGTTGAAAAGCACTGCACTTTTTATTTGTACTACTACCTATGCCGACAACTTGATCAGCAGTTAATTCGACTTGGAACCTCCCTACGTGTTAAGAAAGTGCATCAGATTTTTAAATATACACTCAGCAGTTTGCACAACCACAAGCATCCCTTCCGGTTTAATCGGAAAGAGAGGGGAATTTGCACATGACAATTGTCCCAATTTGCTAGCGCCCAATCCTGATAAATTCCATCAGTTTAGCATCCCTGTTCCTGCTAGTAGAGGAAAAAAAAGATGAATGGGAGCTATACGTATCTAGGAGAAGCCATGATGGCATCACAGCGGTATCGACATCATTGCACAAGTCATGCAAATTGCATAGATGACGTCACCGCCACCATGAGGTCATGACAGGCATGACACTCGTCGTCCCCCCTTGCCCTATCCCAGGGGTCAGCAACCTGCGGCTCTGGAGCCGCATGTGGCTCTTTAACCTCTTTGCTGCGGCTCCCTGTCACTCAAAACATGTGTCACAACCGCCAATGTGTGATACCCGCTGGCACACGGTTTATTGAGTTTTTGAACCCCGGGTAGGCCAACCATGGATAAATCCAAGAAAAGTTTCAGAAGAAAACAGAACATTTAACCCAACTACATATGCTAGTTTTATGGCCGCTCAGGAAATAGTCAGGCACGGGAAGGGTTTTGTGGCTCCCGGTGTTTTCTTTTCTGTGGGAAACGGGTCCAAATGGCTCTTTGTTGAGTGTTTAAGGTTGCAGACCCCTGCCCTATCCTGTACACCAGGGGTCCCCAACCCCCGGGGTGCAGCCCACTACCAGGCCATGGCCTATTCAGAATTGGGCCGCGCAAGTGATTGTGCTGGAGCACGCGTGTGCACAGCTCATCTTGCGTGCACCGGCCCACCGCTCCTGCAAGTCGAACTGCACGCAAGTACGCTGGCCCATCACTCGCACAAGGGCTGCTTGTGTGCACGCACGCTCAAGCAGCCCAGTTCCGTTTTCTTCCCACCCCCACTCCCAGCCAGGCCACCAAGCCGCAAAGGTTGGTGCCCGCTGCTGTAGACATCGTGTTCTAAAATGGCCGCCTGTCCATGATTGCATTCCTCCCAGACAAAAGTCTGAGATCGTATATTGCACTAAACCAGGGGTCGGCAACCTTAAACACTCAAAAGAGCCACAAAGGTCCTAACCAGAAGCCTCCGTTCAATTCTGGAGCCAACCAGAAGTCTGGTTCCCCCATCATAATCTCCTTTTAGCATGGTGTCCTTTTTCCTCTACCTATCCTAACCGAAAGCCCTATCAATTGTGGAGCGACCAGCACCAGGGAGCCGCAGCAGAGGGATGAAAGAGCCACATGCGGCTCCAGAGCTGCAGGTTGCTGACCCCTGCACTAAACCATGGATTTTTATTTCCAAGCTTTCCTGATCCGAATGGGCTGAGTTTATATAATGCCCTAACCCGTAAAACAGACACACACATGTACACACACACAAGAACTCGGCGTTCCCAAGAAGCAACACGTCCATTCTTGACTTCTGATCATCGGGTTTCATTTTGGAGAAACAAGTTGTGGTCACACCTTGGACCAACTGAGAAACTCAACTGAGTTACCGATGTCCGTCTTCTTGTGATGTGAAGGTAAAGCCCTTAAGCACAATCACAGGATGGCTGTTGGTCACGAAGGACTTGCCCTATCCCCCTGATGGTAAACCTATGGTATGCGTGCCAGAGGTGGCACGCAGAGCCCTCTCTGTGGGCACACGCACCGTCACCAACTGCTCTTCTGGTTTCCAGTGCACTCGTGTGCCAGCCAGCTGGACTTTGCATGCACCATAGCACCAGAAACCCAATAACCAGCTGGTTGGTGTCCATGCATGTGTCGGCCAGCTGGTTTTTGGGTTTCCAGCATTCAGGCGTGCGCACGCATGTGCACACGTTCCAGTTTGGGCACTCAGTGCTGAAAAGGTTCACCATCACTGCCCTATCCTGTAGATATCATGTCCTTTCCGAGATCAGTTAAAATAGGCTTCTAACCAGGATTGCATTCCTACCAGACAATAAGTGGGAGTTCATGCATTGTACTAAACCATGGGTTGCTTTGCCAAGGCGTCCTGATCTAAATGGGTTGGATTTCCATGATACCATAAGCCGTAAAACACACACACACACAAACACACTCATACTAGAGCTTAGAGCAGAGGTCTTCAAACTTGGCAGCTTTAAGACTTGTGGACTTCAACTCCCAGAATTCTGGGAGCTGCCAAGTTTGGGGATCCCTGGCTCAAGGAATTCTTGACTTCCGTTCACTGATTTAATTTTGGGAGAAACAAGCTGGCATTATAACCTTGGGCCGTGTCACAAAGAAACCACAGGCGAACCTAGTAGAAGAAGAAGTCGAGTTACTGATGTTCCCTCTTCTTGTGATGCAAAGATTAAAAAAAACAACAACCCTTAAGCACAATCACAAGATGGTGGTGGGTTGCCAAGGGCTGCGTTCTTTGGAGGTTTTCAGGGTGTAACTTTCCAACCTGGGGCAGCTTGATAGGAAAGCCTCCACCACCTCGTGGCTGACCACGCAGAAACAGTGGACCTCTCTCAAGCGGGCACATTTACGGGCCAAATCGATGAGCGAGGCGTTGAGTTCGTCCGACGAGGTGGTGCGAAGGACGAGCTTCTCCAAAGTGCCGCTGTAGTTGACGGTGGCGAAGCGGATTTGATACACCATGTAGGCGAAAGTGTTCAGCTGCAACTCTGTCACGGGGATGTTGGGCTTCAAGATGCGAGGGATCTTCCATTGTGGGACCGTGTGGTCCAGTTCCATTTGGACGTAGAGCTGGGGATATTTCTCACACACCAAAGCCCACAGCTCTTCCGAGATCACGGGAATGTACTTGTCCAGCCGCTCGCAGAAAATATCCAGGCACTTGAAAGTTGGCCGGTTGAGGGTCACCAGTTCCTTAAAGACCTCCTCCGAGAGGCTGGCATAATAGACCCCCAAGGTGGACAATTGGGGGCAAGCCTTCAGAAGCTCAATGATGGTCTCCGGGGTGACGTTGCAAACTAAGGTGCGGTTGTTCAGGTACAAGGTGTGCAGATTCGGGCTACTGGAGGCCACAAGCTGGACGAGCCCATCGTCCAAGGTGAAAGGCATGGCGCGAAAATCGATGCGCTGCAAGTCGATTCGGTTCTGGCTCTGGCAGATTCCCCGGATGCTCTGCAGGATGTCTTGGCCAGAATAGAAATAAGGGTTTTCTCCCGTGCATTCGATGCACAAGGCCTGCAGCTTATGGTTCTGCTTGGCCAGAAGGTCCAGGATCTGGCAGACGTTCTGACGGATCCCTTCCTCCGACTGGTCAAAGGCCACCTTGAGGTGTCTGATGTGGCGCAGGAACTGGTGCAGGTTCTTCAGCACGGCTTCTTCGTCTTCGGTAACACACCTGGGGAACCGTTGGGAGGGTGGGAATGAAAAAATAAATAAATACAGCATGGGGGCAGTGTTGGAATTACAGCAAATGAAAATATAATAATTCATCCAACCACTTCCCCCCCTCTCTCTATTCATATAATCTATCTATATCTATCTATCATGGGAATCCTCAAAACACACACACACACACATATGTATTTCTATATATATATATATATATATATATATATATATATATATATATATATATATATATATATATATATATATATGTGTGTGTGTGTGTGTGTGTGTGTTTTCGTAGATTTTCATGAGTAGAGGTATGCAAGTTTTGGTGTATTCGGGTCTTTTCCCGTGTAAGATTGAGAGTATCTTGGCGATGTTTCGACGAGGTCCCACTCGTCATCTTCAGGCTGGTGTCTTCGGCTTCATGCTTGTGCGGGCCTGTGCTTTGCTCGCACAGGCACGAAGCCGAATCTCTATCCTCTCCGTCTGTCCCTCCTTCCTTCCATCCATCCATCCATCCATCTATCCTTCCTATCTATCTATCTATCTATCTATCTATCTATCTATCTATCTATCTATCTATCTATCTATCATCATCTATCATCAATCTATATATCAATCTACCTACCTACCTATCATCTATCATCGATCTATATTTATCTATCTATCTCTACCTATCTCTATCTATCTAATCTATCATCCATCTATCATCAATCAATCCATCCATCATCAATCTATATCTATCTATCTACCTACCTATCATGTATCATCTATCATTGATCTATATCTATCTATCTATTTATGTATCTCTATCTATCCATCCATCTAATCTATCTAATCTATCATCATCTATCTATCATCAATCTATATCTACCTACCTACCTATCATCTATCATTGATCGATATCTATCTATCTATCCATCTATCTATCTATCTATCTATCTATCTATGGAATCCTCAAAACATTTCTCTCTCTCTCTCTCCTCAAAACATCTCTATTATGTCTGTCTGTCTGTCCATCCATCTCTCTCATTATCTCTCTCTATCTCTCTCTATCAACTATCCATATCTATCTATCTATCATGGGAATCCTCAAAACATTTCTCTCTCTCTTTCTTTCTCCTCAAAAAATCTCTATCATCTCCGTCTGCCCATCCCTCCATCCCTCCCTCCCTCCATCCCTCCCTGTCTGTCTGTCTGTCTGTCTGTCTATCTTTCTATCTATCTTTCTATCTATCTATCTATCTATCTATCTATCTATCTTTCTATCTATCTATCTATCTATCTATCTATCTATCTATCTATCTGTCTGTCTGTCTGTCTATCATCAATTAATCCATTTACTTAGTACATGTTCTAGGAAAATACGTATCGATGTCAGCCCTTTATGGCTAGGAACCGGACCCACAAGCTGGCCAACACTCATCAATCATCATCCTTACCAGGTTGCTTCGCGCCTCAAAGTTCATCAGAAACTGGTCTGGTAGGTTTGGCGTTGGTGCGCTGTACAAATGCAGACCTGTGGTCTGAACGGGGGTGCCTGAGAGACCTCACTACGGCTAGTGACTATGCAGAAGAGCTTCATGCCTCACTGAAATCCATGGTCTCCTTAATCATGAGTTTATGGGATAAATCCGAACTGGCCAGGCTCATACTGTGCACTAAGCCATAAACCACAACTTGGACTCCCTAAGACAGGGGTCAGCAACATGAGCCACAATGTGGCCCTTTCACCCCTCTGCTGCAGCTCCCTGTCACTCAAAATATGTGTCACAACCACCAATGAGTGACACCCGCTGGCACACGATATATTGAGCTTTTCAACCCTCAGTAGGCCAACCATGGATAAATCCAAGAAAATAAAAGTTTCAGAAGAAAAACAGAAGGTTTAATTCAACTACGTATGCTAGTTTTGTGGCCGCTCAGGAAATAGTCAGGCACGGGAAGGGTTTTGTGGCTCCCGATGTTTTCTTTTCTGTGGGAAACGGGTCTAAATGGCTCTTTTGAGTGTTTAAGGTTCAGGCCCCTGCCCTAAGAGCTACATTATATATACCAATCCAGTGGTGGGTTGCTCCCGGTAAGCACCGGTTCACAAGAACCGGTAGTAAAAATTTATAGTAGTTTGGAGAACCAGTAATAACTGGCCATGCCCCTGAACTGGTCCCCGGCCCGCTCACCGCTTGCTTACCCCGCCCACCTCATCAGAGCCTTTTTTTTTTTTTTTCCCCTTTTAAAAGCATTTTTTCTACAACCTCTTCGGCCGAAAAAATGCTTTTAAAAGTAAAAAAAAAAAGCCTCTGATGATCGCGCGGCTCAGCTGGGATCGTCAGAGGCTTCTGAAAGCATTTTTTTTCTGCAACCTCTTCGGCCAAAGAGATTGTAGGAAAAAAAAATGCCTTTAAAAGCCTCTGGCGATCCCAGCTGAGTTGCCTGATCGTCAGAGGCTCCTAAAAGCATTTTTTTCTGCAACCTCTTAAGGTTGTAGAAAAAATGCTTTTAAAAGTTAAAAAAAAAAAAAAGTTGGCCATGCCCACCCAGACACATTACCCCGCCACCAAGCCACGCCCACAAAATGAGCCATGTCCACACTCCTGTACCAAGCCAATAGCAAAGTCACCCATAGCACACTTTAGCACGGTGCATGCAGCCTAGTGCAAACTGCTTTTATGAGTATTATGTCCTTCTGCACCACACCCCTCCTCCTTCTCCGCCTATTAAGCCACTTCAACTCCATGACCTATCTTACTCCCATTCTTACCTGACTTCCGTGTAACTCCAGACACAGCTGGCCGAAACCGCTGCAGCCCACTTCTTACAGACCTGAAAAACCACATGTCTGTCTTGCAGGGACAAGTAGCCAAAGATGTGTGAGAGAATTTCCTCCGGGATGTAGTTCCAGGCATCTCCAACTGTCTCCGGCATCCTTCAGGGACTCCACTCAAGAGGGTTTCCTTTTTCACTGAAAGAAAACACGCACTAAAGTTAAAGCCACACCTAGAGTACTGCATCCAGTTTTGGTCACCAGACTATAAAAAAGATGTTTATTTATTTTATTTATGTATTTATTCATAATTATATGCCGCCCCTCTCCGAAGACCCAAGGCGGCTCACAATACACTCAAAAAATCACTATAAAAACACTTAAAAATTAAAAACATTAAAGACATTAAAACTCATTCACACCATTCATGGGCGGATCTCGTCAGATCGCAAAGGGAGAACAACGGCCCCTGGCCTGCCGGAAGAGCCAGGTCTTTACCGCTTTTCGGAAGGCCAATAGGGTGGGGATGGTCTGGACCTCAGGAGGTAACCGGTTCCAGAGAGCCGGGGCAGCCACAGAGAAGCCCCCCCCCCCCCACGGGCCCGCTAGCCGGCTCTTTTTCTAGAGTTGAGAATCTAGAAAAAGTGCAGAGAAGAGCAACCAGGATGATAAGGGGAGACTAAAACATACGAAGAACGGTTGCAGGAACTGGGCATGGCTAGTCTAGTGAAGAGAAGGACCAGGGGAGACAGGATAGCAGTCTTCCAATATTTGAGCCGAAGAGGTTGTTAAAAAATGCTTTTAAAAGGCTCTGCCGATCAGGCAACTCAGCTGGGATCGTCAGAGCCTTTTTTTTTTTTTTTGAAATAATTTTTATTAAACAGTTTTGTCTTTAAAAGCAACACAAAAAACAATCACACATATATAAAAATAAAACATGTCAAAACATAACGTATTGAACGTTACGTAACATTAATGGTAATTAATCTCCAGTTGTGGAGATTTCAGCCAGATGACAGAAAAGTCCCTCAGATGCGTGTGATTGTTCCAGAAGCAGAATCCTGAATCTGAATTGTAAGCCACCCAGAGCCCCCTTGCAGGGATGCTAGGTGGCATAAAATGTTAATCAATAGCAATAGCAGTAGCACTTAGAGTTATATACCGCCTTACAGTGCTTCCTAGCCCTCTCTAAGCAGTCAGCCTCTTGCCCCCAACCATCTGGGTCATCATTTTACCCTCCTCGGAAGGATGGGAGGCTGAATCACTTTTTTTTTTTTTTGAAAAGTTTTACAAAAAGTTTACATATTTCCCCCCCCCTTCCCTACCCCAACCTCCCCCCTCTCCCCCTCCTCTTCCCAGAACAAATTACAGGGTATAACCTTCAACAATCATAATCAATCCTAGTCTAAATAATTATAACATTCCACATCTCTTGTTCCTTCAATTCCCTAATTACCCGCCTAGCTTAATTACTTAAAGACACACCAAATATCTATATAATCATTCATAACCTATCTGCAATTTCTTATTCCGGTATTTATTTTGAATATAATCTATCCATCTTCTCCAGTCTCTTAAATATCTTTCATTTGAATGATCCTTCAAGTACGTCGAGATTTTTGCCATTTCCGCTAGGTTTGTAACTTTCATTGTCCACTCTTGGATTGTAGGTAAATCTTGCTTCTTCCAATATTGTGCCACCAACAGTCTTGCTGCAGTCATTAAATTCAAAATCAATTTAGTCTCTATAACTGTACAATCCGTAACTATACCCAGCAGAAACAGCTGTGGTGTAAATTTCAACCTCTTCTTAAGAATATTTTGTAAAATCCACCAAATTTTTATCCAAAACGCTTTAACCTTTTTACATGTCCACCAAATGTGAAAATAAGTGGCATCCTCACAATTACATCTCCAACATTTTGGTTGTACATTCGGATACATACGAGATAACTTTTTTGGGTCTAGATGCCATCTATAAAACATTTTATAAAAGTTCTCCCTTAAATTTTGCGCTTTGGTAAATTTCACATTTGTCACCCATATTTTTTCCCAAGTTTCCATCATTACAGGCTGTTCAAAATTCTGCGCCCATTTTATCATACAGTCCTTAACTAACTCTGTTTCCGAGTCCATCTCTATCAATATATTATACAATCTTTTTATGTGCATTGGGCTTTGGTCTCTAATTTGTTTAATTAAATTTTCATCACTTTGTATAACACCAGTTTTCTGGTCTTTTCTCCATCTGGCTTGTAATTGTACATATTGAAACCAAGTTTGAGTTATTTTCTCCTCTTTCAATACATTCACAGGTTTTAATTTTAATATACCTCCCTCCATAATGAGAATATCTTTATATGTAATTACATCCTGTCTACTTTCTATACTCATATTCTCTATTGCGTGCCTGGGTGCTGTCCATATAGGTATCTTTTCATTTAACTTGTATTGATATTTCTTCCAGACACGCAATAAAGCATTTCTCAATATATGACTCTTAAATGCTCTATCCACCCTTTTTTCATAGACTAAATAAGCATGCCAACCATAGACCAGGTCATGCCCTTCAATATTCAATTTCCTTCCATTTGTTAGATTAATCCAATCACTAATTGCTGATAAAACAGCTGCTTCATAGTACAATTTTAAATTTGGCATTTTCAATCCTCCTCTTTCTCGTATGTCCTGCATTATTTTCAGTTTTATCCTTGGTTTCTTACCTTGCCATACGAACTTATTAATACCTTTCTGCCATTCTTCCAGGTTGGCATCCTTTTTTAGTATTGGTATCATTTGAAAGAGGAATAAAAACCTAGGTAAAACATTCATTTTTATAACTGCTATTCTACCCAACAAGGACAGTTGTAATTTTTTCCATTTATCCATTTCAGCTTGTATTTTATGCATTTATGTATTTATCAGTTCATAATTATGCTTATACAATTTACCATTAGAAGATGCAATATAAACTCCTAAGTATTTAACTTTTTTAACTATTTCACATCCCGTTACCCTTTGTAACTCCTCTTTTTGATTTGTTGTCATATTTTTAACTATCATCTTTGTTTTTCCAATGTTTATCTTAAACCCAGATACTTGACCATACTGTTTTATTATATCCATCAAAACCTTTTGTCAGCGTTCCAAATTAGGCTTTCTTCCAGCGCTGACATACAAGTTGAAGTGCTGATTCCACTGGATAAGTTAAGGTCATAACCAAATCATCTGCAAATGCCCATACCTTATATTCATAGTCTCTAACTTTGATTCCCTTTATCTCATCTATATTATGTATTTTGTTTAGCAACAATTCCAAAGTTAATATAAATAATAATGGCGATAAGGGACATCCCTGCCTCGTGCCTTTTTCAATTTTAAAAGTTTCTGTCAAACTGCCATTAATAATTATCTGAGCTGTCTGTTCCTGATATATTGCTTTTATGGACTGCATAAAGCAATTCCCAAATTGCATCCTATTAACCACTCTCAATAAAAATTGCCAATCTAATCGATCAACAGCTTTTTCCGCATCTAAAAATATAAGCACCGCAGGGATTTGGTTATTCCTTTCCAAATATTCCAATATGTCAACAATTTGTCTTACATTATTTTTCATTTGTCTACCTTGTATGAAACCAGTTTGGTCAGCATGAATCATTTTTTGCATTACTAGCATTAACCTATTTGCCAATATCTTAGCAAATATTTTATAATCTGTATTCAATAATGATATGGGTCTATAGTTTTTGGGATGTGTCAAATCTTGATCTTCTTTTGGAATTAACGAAATAAAAGCTGTTTTCCATGAAGGTGGTACCCCTTCACCCAACTGAATTCTATTAAATAATTCTTTAAGAGGTACAACCATCTCCAGTTGTAAATATTTATAATACACAGCTGTTAATCCATCCGTGCCAGGAGCCTTACCAGTTTTTAACTGTTTAATTGCTGAGAGGATCTCCTCCTCTGTTATTAATTGGTTTAACCGTTCTCTTTGTTCCTCTGTAACTATAGGAATATTCTGTCTATCCAGATATGTCTCTATCTCTGCTCCTTGTATTTTATCTGCAGTATACAGTCTTGCATAAAATTCTAAAAATGCCTTTTTAATCATATTTTGGTGATATACCTCTTTACCTTTGTACTCTATTTTCTCTATGGTACGAGATTTTTGTTTTTTCCTCAGCATGTATGCCAACCATCTACCTGGTTTATTTGCATTACAAAAAGTATTATGTTTAGCATATTGTAGATTGGTTGCCACTTGGTCTGAAAGCATCATATTAAATTGCCCACGTAATAGACTGATCTCTTCTTTGATTTTCTTATCCCCTGGGTTATCAATTAACACCCTTTCTTTTTTCTTGATCTCTTCTTCTAATTCCCTCCTTTTTTCCACCTGTCTACGCCTATATGCATTATTCATATTTATCAAAACTCCTCTCATGTATGCTTTACTAGCATCCCATACCATATCCATAGATGTTCCCTTGTTCATATTAAAAACAAAAAATTCCTTCATTAGTTTTTTACATTCTATTACGTTTTTCTCATATCTGAAAAGGTTTTCATTTAACCGCCAAGATCTCCTAGATCTTTCCGCACACTCCAGTTCCATACAAACTGGACTATGATCAGTTAAAATTCTGAGACAAATCTTTATCTTCTTTACCCTGGAAAAAAAATCATTTGTAATTAATATAAAATCAATTCTTGAAAAGGATTGATGTCTATCTGAAAAAAATGTAAAATCTTGTTCTCTATAGTTCCGTTCATGCCAAATGTCTCTTAATTCCATATCCTCCATCATATCAAAAAAAGTCTTAGGCAGTCTGGATCGCAATTTAGTAGATTGTACTATTCTTTTCTTATCAATACTAGGGTCTATCACTCCGTTCCAATCTCCCATCAATATACATGAATTATAATCCCAATGTAGTAATTTTGTATGTATCAACTTATAAAATTTCTCTTGTTGTTGGTTAGGAGCATATATCCCCAATAAGAGTGTTTTCTTTCCTTCTATCATTATCTCAATTGCCAGGAATCTTCCTTGTTGATCTGCCTCAACTAATTTAGCCATCAAATCTCTTTTCAAGTAGATCACTATTCCATTCTTTTTTTCCGGGGCTGATGCAACAAAATGTGTTCCCAATTTTGTATTTATTAAATATTTTTGATCAGTTGTCCTTATATGTGTTTCCTGCAGGCATATTATTTCATTTTTAAATTGTCTCAAGTGGTGAAATATTTTCTTCCTTTTTTGTGGTGAGTTTAAACCATTAACACTCCAGGTTAAAAACCTAGAAGCCATCCTCAGACTCTCGAAGCTTGGCGAGAACCGCTTGATAATCCTCTTGGAATTTTCTTTTGGGTCTCGCCCCTCCCACAGATTCTGCGCCAGTATTCACTTCTTGTGATAAAGCCTGCTCTTGTAACTTTTTTAACTCTTCAACTTTACGTTTAGTAGTTGCTCTGGTTTGTCTTTGATCTTTGCCTTCTTCTTGTTTTTCAACTATATCCCATGCTTGGACAGCACTTGAGAGTTGCAGTACCTCCTCCTGCATACTCATAGCTCCGCCTTCCAATTGCTTCTGCAGGTCCTCTTTCCTTCCCTCTATCGCCTCTCTTGCTTTTTTACCTCCTGGCACCGGTTGTTGTCCAGCCTTTAGTATGTTACTATAAAAATCTCTTGCTTTGCATATTGTATTGAGACGATATCGCTCTCCTGCATAGTCCACCGATAATCCAACTGGAACTTCCCATCTGTATTGTATCTGTCGATTCCTCAGCTCATTTGCCAGAAAAGCATACTCTTTCTTGGATTTCAGCATTTTGGGTGGTATTTCTTTAAATACTGCAACTTCTTGTCCTGCCGCTTGCAACTTGTTTTTATAAGCAGCTTGTAAAATCTCATTTCTAATCCTTCTGGTGACAAAGTAAATCACAACATCTCTTGGTAATTTCCTTTGTCTAGCTACCCATGAATTAACACGATAGATCCGGTCAATTTGCCATTCAAGTTCACCTCTGGGCTCTCCTATAAACTGTGCCAGAGCATCTTCAAAAATCTCTTTCAAATTTTCCTTAGGGTTTTCTTTCAAGCCTCTTATTCTCACAGCAAATTCCATCATCTTGTATTGTGTCAACAACATTTCAGCTTCTGTTTTGTCAATCTTAGTTTGTGATTCCTCAACTTTACCATCTAAAATCTCATTGGCTTGAACAACCTCATCAATTCTATCTTCTACATGACTAACATGTTTTGCCAGTCCCTGGAGTGCAAGAACTATATCTTCCCTTATATGTTGATTTCTTGTCTTAATTATGTCCTTCATTTCTTCCATTTGTTCTGAGACTCCTTTAAATGCAAATGCAATGTCCTCTTTAAAACCTTCTTTAATTTCTTTCATGGCTTCTTGAAACAACTCAAGTGTTAGCATTTGTGCTTGTGGTTGTGATTGTGGTTGTAATTGAGCTTGTGTATCTGCTGGAGGCAATAAACTTTGCAACCTACTAGTTTGAGCTGGGGAACTTCCCGCACTCCCTGCTTTAGGCAGCACCAATTTTGTCTGCTTTGAAGCCATTTTAAAATCACACAGTCTCAGAAACAGTTCTTAAAGTTCTTATAGCCAGCGAGGAAAAATCAGAAAATCTTTAAAATCTTTAAATTTTAATTCCCAAAGTCCAAGATATAAGGTTAAATCCAAAAAAAAAAGGCTGAATCAATCTTGAGCTGGTCAAGATCAAACTCCAGACTGTGGGCAGAGTTTGCCTGCAATACTTCATTCTAACCCAGAGGTCTCCAAACTCAGAAGGCTGAGTCAACTTTGAGCCAGTGAGATTCAAACTGCCAAATTACAGGCAGCTGGCAGGCAGCAGAAGTAGCCTGCAGTACTGCACTCTAACCACTGCGGCACCGTGGCGCCTAAAGTATAGTATAATAAATAAAGTATAATAAATAATTTTAAAAGTAAACTTCACCAGACCAAGGGATGTGATAAAAAGGGACCGCAATTCCCGGTCCCTACCTCCTAAAAAACATTTTCTGGTGGGAGTTGAGTGCCCAGCACATCTGGGGAAGAATCCAGGAATAAAAGGAAGGTGAGACAGATCAGGGTGAACTCAAAACACAGAAGGTGCTTATTAGCACCTGGGAATTCGGAGGAGGAGGAGAAGATGATAAGAAGGAAGAGGGGAGGAGCAGGAAAAAGAAGAAAAGAAGAAGGAGATGGAGAAGAAAAAGGAAGAAGAAGAAGAGAGGAAGAGGAAGAAGAAGAGGAGGAGGAGGAAGAAGAAAAGAAGAACAAGGAGGAGGAGAGGAGGAGGGAGAAGAGGAGGAGGAGAAGATGATAAGAAGGAGAGGAGGAGGAGGAAGAAAAGAAGAACAAGGAGAAGGAGAGGAGGAGGAAGAAGGGGAGGAGAAGATGATAAGGAGAGGAGGAGGAGGAAGAAGAAAAGAAGAACAAGGAGAAGGAGAGGAGGAGGAAGAAGAGGAGGAGAAGATGATAAGGAGAGGAGGAGGAGGAAGAAGAAAAGAAGAACAAGGAGAAGGAG